TATCCATTCTCAAAAAAAAAAAGTCATTGTTGTTTGTTTAAATAAAAGATACTCAACGTTCTCATTTAAATATTAGATAGCACAACTGTATTTTATATTAAAAACTTGATGCCGGTCTAACAAAAATAAGCAAAAAAATATACATTTTATAAAAAACTGGATTGACGGTCTAACAAAAATAAGCAAAAAATATTATATATTTTATTTTCCCAATAAACCGTACTAAAATAAATAAAATAAACAATACGGTGGACTTGCGCCAAGCACACCCTAATCCATATATCAACTTCACAAAATTGGAGGAAACATAACCGGAGACAACCCGCCCAAGTACGACCCTCCACGCGCCGCACCCCACACATCCACAATCAAAGGAGACAAATAGCAGCCAATGGCTGATCGTCTGGTAATCACTCGCATCGAAATGGCTTCTCTATCAACGGCCGCCGCCGTCACCACCGCCGCCGCCGCCTCTCGCTTCCTCCCGGCCGCCGCCTCCGCCAGAATCTCGCATCGTTCATCTCTCGCTCTCAGCTCCGCCTCCGTCAGATCGTCTACTCCCCTCACTCGCCTCTTTCTTCACCAGGTACCTGAACGTATTGATTTTCCGGGGTAGTGCATTTGTTTTTTCAGTTGATTCTAAATGTTTTTCCGATTGGGAAAAAAATCAGAAAAGCGCTGTGCGAGGGTTTTCGAGCCGGAGAATTGGTTATTCGACAGCGGCGGCTCCGAGGTGCGCGGCGTCGGTCCCCGAGCAGCTGAAGAGTGCGCGCGAGGATATCAAGGAGTTGCTTAAGACTACCTTCTGTCATCCTATTATGGTAAATTTTCATCTAAACCAGTGTCTAGTGTATTTGCTTGTCTAAGATATGTGTATGGAGTTGCATAGGTTCATCTGTTGAAATTATGCTGTTAGCTGTGGATTTGTTCTTTTACATTTTAACAGCTGGAGAATTTCGATACTCGTTAGCATTGTCTACTTACGCACGTTTGATGCAATGGTTAAATTTATGTTCGGATGTCCAAGCTTGAATTGTGTTTGGATTATTATATCATTCTATGTTTGGAACATCGCACCAATTTGTTCTATCTATAGAGGAATTTGTAGCTGCAAATAATGTGAAGAATTGGTGTATATTGCTGGTTGTCTGTCATTGTTATGCAGGTTCGACTGGGTTGGCATGATGCCGGGACGTATAACAAGAATATTGAGGAGTGGCCACAGAGGGGAGGTGCTAATGGAAGTTTAAGATTTGAAATAGAACTGAACCATGGAGCAAATGCTGGTAAGATCTTCATTTTAATTATGATTTGTGCAGTAGTATTTTCCGACTGATGATTAAATTTCGTGACATGTCGGAGCTGGATAGGGCTTGTCAATGCTCTGAAACTTCTTCAGCCCATCAAGGAGAAGTATTCTAGTGTGACGTATGCAGATTTATTTCAATTGGCTAGTGCTACAGCTATTGAGGTTAGTTACTTTGATTCAATGTGTATGAGCGCATTTGTAACCAGCATTTGACTAATATCTATTTTCATTATAACAGGAAGCTGGGGGAGCCAAAATCCCTATGAAGTATGGGAGAGTAGACGTAACTGGACCTGAACAATGCCCAGAAGAGGGAAGGCTACCAAGTAAATTAAAATTATCCTTTAAAGAGTCTGTTATAGTGTGAATGTACTGAAGCAACACTATCATTTAGAGTAAGGTTAACATGTATGGCAAATAATTTCCCGTTCGAGTCGAATATTGTGAAGTTTGCCTGAATAATTAGCAGTCAGTTGGCATTTTTGCATGGTCTTTATGAAGTTAATTAGGTGTGATGGCTGCACATAGTGTTATCCATTTCTTCCAGTGTTCTTCAGAATTATTTTATACTGCAGCAACTGCATTTAATGGCTTGTCGATGACAAACTTTGTCGCTTTTCTGTTGATGGCTTGCGAAACTTTGAGGCGTGTAGCTAGTATGTGCCAGCATGTGCAGGATCTCCAAAGCTTATGATGATGGATGACATGTTCATGCAGCAGTTTATTTATTTCTTGGAATTTGAAGGAGCATAAAAAATAATTTTCAGTAACTACAGTATTCTTACTGTTTAACTTTTCGCTTTGTTCCTTCACGGCCTGTTTTCATGGTATTAATGAGTGACATATGGGCTGTCCTACTATTTACGGCATAATTACTAATCTGCGATATAATTCTCATATCTCATGAGCTGTTGATACTTCATTTGTTAGATGCTGGCCCTCCTTCACCTGCTGCTCATTTGCGCGATGTCTTTTACCGTATGGGACTGAATGATAAGGTATAATTTCTTAATTTATCTTGTATTTGTTTCCAGTATCAGTGTTATGACTGATGAGGTTCTTCATGTCCAGGAAATAGTTGCTCTTTCTGGTGCACACACTCTTGGAAGGGCAAGGCCTGATCGTAGTGGATGGGGAAAGCCCGAGACTAAGTACACGGTATCAGAAGAAGCTTTTATCATTTATATTATTTTTAAGTAATCACTTTCTTGATTATGAAAAGCTGAGAATCATTAGTTTATAAGTTAAAAGATGTTACATGTTAAATAAGAGCCTTGTTTCCAATTAATGTTATTTTAGTTATGAAGGAGGTCACTACGAAGCAACAAGCTTCTGGCATGTCAGAGCGAAATTTACTTCCATTTAACAACTTAAATTTAACCACCCCGAATTATCCTTAACTTGTAATATACTTGTGTGATGCATGTGTGGCCTCTCAATGAACACACAGTAATTTGAATTCAATCTGATGACAAGTGCACACGATCAGTGGCGAAACCAGGATCTCGTTTCGGGGAGGGCCCAATTTGCCTTTAAAAAAAAATTTCACGACAAAACCAAACACAAACACAAATTTTCTCCGATCCAGCTTCCCCTCCATGGCTCCATGCCTCCCTGCTCAGCTGCTCTGTGTTTTCGGATGCCGGATTTCCGGTGGCGCCCCTCCGGCCATCCCGCGGCGCACCACCCCCACTCCGGCATCGGAAGGGCGCTCAAAGGGCGCCCTTCCAGTTCCAGCAAAACCCCCCACCCCTAGTTCGATTATTTTTTTTTGGAAGGGCTGGCGCCTCTCCGATTAATACTGTGGTTTCGCCCCTGCACACGATGCGAAAACTTTTTTGCTTGCAATCAACTTCTAGAAGATTACTGGCATTTCCCTTTTGTATGTCTACAAAATATGAAGGACTTGCTATAGAAAATCTAAGAAGCTTTTAATGGAGATACAACTACATTTATTTAATTGCATAGCTCTTTCACCTGGAGGGGAAAAATTACTTGGGGAAAGACAATTAATGTGCAGGCGTGAGTTTTGGTCTGTCTAGAAATTGGTGGTTGGAGTCGAGGATATATATGTGAACATTCCAGGCTTCTTATGTAAATCCATAACGGTCTATATATATTGAGACTACACATGAGATTTATATGGATGAATAGAGGAATAGGAGTGGTCGATCTGTGGCTCAAGGTGATCCACGATTTCTTCTGGAATTTCTGCAAAACTCTTCTATATAATGGCCTGCAATGCCTTAGAAACTCAAAATGAGTTAAAGAAATAATAAATTTAATTAATATAAGAATTAAAGAATAATAGATTTGTCTAGATTCTCTTTTTCGTCTTTAATTTGCATTATAATCAGATTCTGCTGTCCACTACTTAGCTGACAAACTATTTGCACGAGGCAGAAAGATGGACCAGGAGCCCCTGGAGGACAATCATGGACAGTGCAGTGGCTAAAATTCGATAATTCATACTTTAAGGTAATAAATGATAGTATCTAACAGTACAGGTTTTCATTTTTCTAACTGAATTTGCTGACCCGTGTTTCTTATGCATGTGGGTTGATTGTTAGGACATCAAAGAAAGAAGAGATGAAGACCTGCTAGTTTTGCCTACAGATGCTGTTCTGTTCGAAGATCCTTCGTTCAAGGTGATTTGACGGGATGACACACACACACACACACACACAAAAAGAATAAACTATCCTTATTAGTTATAAGTTTGAGCTTATATGGAATTACATTGCAGGAGTATGCAGAGAAATATGCTGTTGACCAGGATGCGTTTCTCAAGGATTATGCTGAAGCTCATGCTAAGCTCAGCAATCTTGGAGCTAAGTTTGACCCGCCAGAGGTAGCTAGCCCTGTACTTTCCAGTTGTGACTGATAGAGTAACCGTTACTTGTTCAATCTGATGAATTTAGTCAGACAAATTAATTGCGGCATTTAAATGAGATGTGTTACATTATTGCCCCTATGTCTACCCAAACTATAAAAATTCTTACTATGCAACAAATATATGTGTGATCCCGTTGATATCGATATTTAATTGAGAAAACATCCTCTTCCAGTTAGTTTGTAGGAATGAATGATAGGCAATATTTGTAATTTTGAAAAATAGCCATCCCTTTTTCTTTATCTTTATCCTTAATTTTATTTATTATTGTAATGTGACTGAATCTGGAGTGTTTATTGTAATTAGCACCTAATTAAAGATAAAAAAGTTGTATTATGAATCCCTTTTTTTCAGGGTTTCTCATTAGATGAAAGTAGCCCAGCTGCTCAGCCAGAGAAATTTGTGGCAGCTAAGTACTCAACGGGAAAGGTATTGATTAAAGTAGCTCTTCATGAAAGTCCTGCATAAATTTCATTTTTTCATGCTTAAAAATGATTATGAAAGTGATAGTATCAAGTGCTAAATAATTTTCTGTGGTTGCTGCAGGACTAAAAATTTCACAGTTCAAGCATCTTCTTTTTTCGTGTGCCGTTAGTTAAAAAATAAACACGCGATTGACCAACCGTGTGAACATGACTATAAATATCTGGGATTTTGAATGAAGGAGAAGAAATAAATTTTCAACCTGGTGTTGTTTGAATTGCAGAGAGAGCTCTCGGATGCTATGAAACAAAAGATTAGAGCCGAGTATGAGAGTCTCGGAGGGAGTCCAGATAAGCCTCTCCAATCAAACTATTTCCTTAATATCATGATTGTGATTGCTATTTTGGCATACGTGACATCTTTGGTTATGAACTAAAACGGTTCTTTTTTCCAAGTAAAATTCCTGACAAATTTTCTTTTCTACACTCAACTTGGAAATTTAAGGCCCAAGTTTGTGTGCTCATACATGTTCATCTTGGGATGCACCTTTTTGCTATTATTCCTCTATAGATTATAAGAGATTGTTTGGTTTGAGCTTGGTCTTTTTCTTGAAGAGATTATTAGCTCTGCAAATTTGGTAGGTTCTTCTGAAGAGAACTCTTTTCTTTAAGCATTCAAAATAAGATGTAGGTGCTCATAAATTGTTTTTGAAAAGGGGTCCAAAATTATTAACTAACATCTTATAATCGTATAACTAAATGTTGGCTGAATTAGATGTTAGAGAGATCATAATTTAACACATCCTCTTTTGTTTGCATTCTTCCAATATGTTTTTGTTAAGCTGGCTTTAAATTTTTTCACACATGCATACTTTCATTCGAAAATGTCATACTGGAGAACAAAAGTATGACATTTGATACTATAAACATGTATTTTGTTAACCAAGTTTGATTGTCGGCTACGGTTGCCTTACTCAAGTACTTGAATTTTTTTTAAACATCATCTTTAAGTTTTGGTCATTTTATTTGCAAATGTTATAGTTCTAAAACTTTTTAAACTACATCATCTTATTTTATCAATAACCCTCAATAATTTAGTTTCAAAACGTTTTAAACTACATCATCTTCATCTTCTAAGCCATACATCCTCGCAGTCTATTTATAATTAATTTTGGGCTCGTTATGAATCGGACTCGCGGGAAAAGCCCACGAACTGTATTCGGAAAACCTGTATTCAACACTGGAACTTTTGGGATTGAAATTTAATGGGCTTTGTGTATGTGTAAGCGAGTGCAGAAGTATCTCTTTCTACTTTTGTGATGGTTTTTAAGATGGTCTGAAATATGAAGCAAAACATCTTTGTCCGACACTTAAATCTGTACTTTGTAGACAATCTGCCGTAGCTTACGAGGTTGTTTACAAATTGCAAACATTGAATGCTTCACCTTTTTTATTAAAATATTTTGGGTGAAGTTGATGGCAAGACAACTTGAGTGCAAATAGTCCTTTTGTTTGAAAATTTTCCCCATTTTAATAACATATTTGTTTCTGAAACATGTGGATCGAGGTTGCGGCTATGGTATCCTATATCCATTCAATTTTATTTTATTTTTTTTTTTAAAAAAAAATATAATAATGGAAAGGTCTAAAAAACGAAGAATTTAATTGAAATTATAATTGGACCTGAGGTTAGAGCACGATGATATATAGTAATTTGATAATTGATGTTGATGTAAAAAATGGTTCAACTGATGAGTAGTTATAAAATAGGAGAATACTGCTACCCGGGGTGGTTACGTTATATTTTGTAAGTGTTGGATTATCTACACATTATCAGATTATGTGTATATCTACGGTTAAAATGCATAACGGAACTATACCGTTAGTATTCTCCTATAAAATATAGGAATGAGTTTGATATTGGAAGAAAAATGTATGAGAATGGTCAATGAAGTGAAACGATATGAAGTTTTGTATTTAGTTATTTATTCTTGTCGTATTTTGAGTGAAAACAATGCAAATTAAATGAGAACGCAGATGAAAAATAATAGTGTCACGCACACGCTATTAAACTCGCCATTAAATTAACAAGATACATGGGAACAACTTTGGTAGCCGTGGGTCATATAGGTGGACATTGTTATCATTATCTATATTTATTGTGAAGTAAAATTGTGATAAAATTTGTTTTAATAAATTGAATTTATCTTCTGAATTTTTATTATGATCACTTTTCACAACAAAAACGTATAATTTTCCACAATAAAATTTCATGATTTAATAATAAATTTAAAATAGATTTTTAACTTACTCTGAAAAGAATTAACTTTCACAATAATATCTCTATTCTTGGTTAAAAATTTTGACCGTCTGACATTTAACCAACTTTTCACACGTTAATTTTCAGTTTTTTTTTTTTTT